GGGGGGGGGGGGGGGGGTTTGGTCGCGGCCCATTTTCGGAAAGTCCAAAAATACAAAAAAAAGAGAGAGAAAAAAAAAAGAAAAAAGTGATCGCCCAAAACGCCTCCGAGGTTACTTTCGGGCGTCCTGAAATCAAAAATTTCGGATCAGGCGCACTTCACTCACCACCCTCCCACCATTTCGGGCATCTCTGGATCTGTTCCTGACGTGGGATATTTATCATAATTACGCCTTTCAATAATACAATTATATATGATTATTGTTTGTAAACATATCATTACTTATTTTCTGTCGATATTTACCTTTATAATACATGACTTTACTGACGGTTAAAACTGTATTTTTTTTCCTTTTAATCAAATGTTGTTTGCTTTGATTTTCATTTTAATTATTGTTTTTTGTATGTTTATTTTTTACTTGTATTAGGTATGGACGCACCACCGGGCAGGTGTGTGCCACTGTTCCTAAAGTGAGGTCCAATAAATACTGAATACTGAACAAAAGCATTATCTAACAAAATAGGACTACCATGAAAGAAATAGAATTTTGTTTGAGATTATCAGCATCATTGGAATTGTTTAAATGTCAAAAAAAAAAAAAAAACCACAAAAAAGAAAATCTACTTAAAACATATCGAATGTATTGCAATGCTAGTATATGATTTTCTATCTATCTTTCTGTCTATTATTTCCAAGGGCGCAGATCTGTTTTGAAAGGTGGGGGGACATTTCGTGAGCTGATACCCACCCTGGTTGGGGTTGAGGCACGAAAATTTGAGGAAATAGTACCTTTAGATGGCCGGAAATGATACTGTTATATAGTAAAATTCATCATCACATCACCATTATAGTGAAAATGAAGTGCACTCTCATACTTTAAAAATCTTCTCATAACATCACCATGATTTTTATCAGCGATTTTCGGCTGTCATAGAGATCTAATTAATCTGTATTGTACCATAGAAAATAAAACTTTTAAGTTAAAAATTGTCTTTGATATATCTACTTTATTTTACCTACTTCGTGTGCTCAAAATCTTATACCTTTTCTCATACTTCTCAAATTTTAACAAAAGCACGTGCACTCGATTCCAGTATTATAGATAATTCAGACGTTAGTGATACCGGTATCTTTCTATAATATAAGACGTACTCTCTACTCAGCTCAGTCCGTTAAAATCTGGGTCATTATGCAGTTCATTTATCATACTTTCAGGCATAATCTTTAATTATGAACTGCGGTCAAAACGTGGGGCCAACCTCCCCTTAAAAATGTGTGAGGGGACGTACGTGTTCTCTCCCCTCCCCCGCCCCACGATCTGCGTCTATCATTATTTCACCAGAAATTTTTATCGCGCTGAATGCATCATCTGCATTTGAACTTATTTTGTTTCAAGTATATTATTGTAACGTAAATATAAATGCAAAAAATAACTTACTTGCTGAATAGGTGAAACTAAGTAGCCCAAACAGGACAGTATACTGTATTACTAACATTTTCATTGGGAACCGCTTTGAAAATACTCATTTATAGGAAATATTATGAATACAGGCACACTTTAAGTCGTATAAGCTTCCAAAGGTAGTAGTTGCTTTCATCATCTGATGTTCTATACATATATACAGTAATATCAATAACATGTCACGCCACAATGCTTCTGAACAATATTACATTGAGAATAATACTGACAGTAAAAACACTTTGTGTCCTGGTAGGGCCGGAAATACACATACAAAAATAATCGAAAATGAGAAACATCATTTCAAAACCATAGGTGAATCCTGAAAACAATTTGATGGAAGAAATAGGGGTGTAACCGGTAGTGTGCTGGTTTATTAACTTTTACTTGCGTTGGGAGCGAGTCATTTTGCATATCTAGGCGCATGCAGCGGGAAGAGAGTTGAAACACTTTGTAAACAGCTTACCCAGCTAATAAATCGTACAGATGAAAATACCAAGCTTGGCCATAGTGGGAGTTCATTTTAACCACAGACCTCTACTGCATTAAAACCACAGACCTCTACTGCATACCTCCCAACAAAGGACCTTCAATTCCTATCAACCTACATTAGCTAGCCCGCCTATACACAAACTATTTTTCTCATGGCTTCCGAAAAATTCCATTCCTGCTCAGCCAAGCAGTATACAGGAATCATTGCCTTACATTTACTTATTTATATACTGTATAGGCCTATGTATATACGTATAATATACTATAATACTATAATATATATTAGGCCTATTATAATATAAGGTGATTTTGGGAATGTGTGTAGACACACAGAAACGACAATCGGAATAATGCAAACAACATTAAAACGTAACAAAAGAGGAATCAGACAAAGAATGAAAATTCTAAACCTCCATCGGGGCTCGAACCCGAGACCTTTCGCATTTATGTTGAACGTCATAACCAAAATGGCGTTGGTTCGAACCCGGAACTTTTACATACATGGCGAACATTATAAACAAGGGGCGTTGTGGTGAATCCAAGCGCCGGTACACAGTGGATTACCTCACGACCTGACATCACTAATGTCGCATGTGACTAGAATGTTTGAGATCTACAATATTTATTTATTACGATTCATCACTGCCCAATGAGAAAAATAAATGACAAACACAATAAGATAGAAAAGCAGCGAAAATGAAGGGGTAAAATAAACTGCTACGATAATTTGACTTGCAGGAGACATAGAAATATTTATTAGCGAAATTTTCGGCAACTCCTGTTACCTTCGTCAGCGCATGAGTATCAATGAGAAACTTAACAGAATACATAAGACTATACAATGGGTGATTAATCACCAGATCTATAAACAATAGGTTACACAGTCTTATCTTAAGATTAAGTTTAATGACAGAAAAGATATAAAATACATTATTATTATTTAATTATTATTTATTAAGTTAAATGACATAAAATAGGCCTATATGAAAATACATTAGATATTAAAAAACGAAGTTATTAATTATTAATTTTTTTTTGTTTGCAACAATATACAGAGAACATCAATAATTGCACAAAAAAAACAAAAAAAAAAACCATATACACTCTTTTTCGAGGATTATGTTCATTTAGCTGGATATTTTCAAAAAGTTTTTTTTTTATATATATTTATGAAGCATACGCAAATAAAAAAAAAATAAAAAGAAAATTAAAACTCGCATGAAGCAGACCTGATGTGGATTCATGGTGTTTGTTCTAAAAGCCGGACAGGTGCAGCACGAATTTTAGTTCCGTGCTAATTTTAGTATGTCGTGGTCTGGATTATCAGAGCCTATGGGACACACATTTGCAACACTTTCTTCCGGGGTAAACAATTATTAAATAAGTCTATGTATTCATTACAAAAATAAAGTAACTAAAGTTTACACAATCGAGCATGTACCTTATGTTCAACTTAACTTCACAGATTAATTATCTAGCATAAGCCATCAGTAAAAAGTATGTAAAAGCTAATTTACGTTTAAGAAAATCACTTTACATCGAGAAACAGGGAGCATGATGGGAAGGTTAGATGAAACTAATTTCCTTTACAGCTAAATGTAATTAGGCTAACAATAATACGGCGGGAATAGTTCATTGGTCGAGTTATTCGAAGCTCTGCGCTCAACCGTTAGTTCGCCTATATGTTCTGTAAAAAAATTCACTGGTTCTACCTTGAATTTGTGTGTAGTGTATGTGTAAACATACAGCTTCCTTTTTTATATATATTTTGTCTCAGGAGCAGGAGCACATGTCTGTACGACTGTTTCACGACTATTTCTTTTTTTTTTTTAAACCATTATTTACTTACTTATTTATTGAACATATTTACAGTACAGGGGTGTAACAACCTGTCTTGTTTTGTAGAAAAAGCTTATTCTCAAGCACGGAATACATTGTATTGAAGTAGTATAATAATATCTATATTACCATTTTTAATAACCCTAATAATACTACCCATCCTGCATAATTAAGTTATGAAATCCTTATAATCGTTGATGTTGGGCAACTCGAGCAGAGCGGTATGATTATTTTTAGGGGTTATTTTTCAATTACACTTGTAGGCCTTGGGACAATTAATATAAATTAATAGGCCTACCTGGAAATTGAATAAAATAAATAAAAATAAAATATATAGCATAGCGCTGTTGAGATATTGTTTTTGGAGACAACAGTGTGGAATTGTATCCTCACGATTCTTTATTATACAGTTCTTCCTAGTTTAGCAAAGGCATTATATCAATTTAAGGGTTTTGTATTGAAATAATAATAATTTATTTAAATACACCATTCATATCGGTGGCAGTCAACAGGTGGTGCATTAAACACATTAATACACATGTAATTTTAACAAAATTAATGAAAAAAATAAAAGGTAAAAACAAATTAAGCAAGGAAAAACAAGTCGATATGTATATGAAAGTCCTAGTTTCCTTGGTTCCTAGGCGGGAAGTTTGCTTAGGCCAGGCCAATCAAAGATGAAGGGCATTGCTTAAGCCAAATCCGAAGCCTAATTTGCATAATCACCCTATATAAATGTATACGAGATACGAGACTGACTGCATTTGACTTTAGTTGATAGCGGAGTCGACGAGGGTAACACAGCACTGTGTTGAAAGCGGAAACAATTATATTAAAATTTAATTGTATAGATCATTGTTGGCGACATTGAATATATTATTTTCAAACGTTTCATAAACTATAGATCAGAGAATGAAATATAAAGTGCTAAATTGATAAGTATAGGCCTATATGATATTATTAATTTTGAATCCCCGATATTCCAATTCTGTCATTTTACAACTAAAATGTGCCAGAACCCACTTACCTATAATTATCTCCCTGTATATAGAACAACCTATACAGTATACAGTTTTAAGTAATATAACTAATGGCTCTTTGTTGTATATACTGTATTCAGCACTTGTAATGCATGAATGTTATAATGTTATTTCGTTGACGATTTCATTATATTTTATTGTAAGCTTATTTGTTTCTACTGCATTTTATGAGAAAATTTTAACATTTCATTTTTTATATATTTTATACACCCTCAAAGTATTGTATTCTCGTTGTAATGGTTTTGTTGTATAGAAATTGAATAAAATAAATAAAAATGAAATACCACAATTTTGAGTGAATTCTGTCCATGTGAGCTAATTTAGAGGCATAAGCAGAGCAATATGTTAAACACTTTAACATTCAAAGTTAACAGGACATAACAGGTTATGATGTACCAGGCCTAAATTTTTAGAAAATTCTCAATATTAGGGACCATTATCTTTTCGAACATTGGCAAAACAATTTTTGCAATATTATCAAGTTTAATTTCCAATATATTTTTAATAGTTTGCATTAAATTTATTATATATAAACATACATATTTCTACTCTGATTGGCTGAAAATGAAAGAGTCACTCATACGTCATGATGCAAAGCCTGGCTGCGAACAGGCGGTAACATGGACAATCTTCGCGCTGCTGTTACAGCAGTGATAAGAATTAATTCAGCGTTGCAGTGTGGACGCGATTTAAAGCATTAAAAAGACATTCAAAATCGTATTTTTACTGCTTATTTTCACGGTTTTGTTCCAAATACAAGTTCACCCCATTAATAACGATCGGTCGTTAGTTTCAAACAAAGGAAATATTTATGCACTGTAGGCCTACTATAAGGTTCATAAAATTAGAGTGGAACCTAATTTATTGACAAAACCAAAATTTTCTCTTAAACGAGAATTTAGGTCTGGAACCTAATTTCTCGATGGTACCCGAATTTTCGTGACACCGGCGCTGTAAATACGATTCATATTCTTCTTTTTCTTACATCTTACCCGTCTTTCGCCATGGGGAACGGTGCCGAAGATCTGAGTTCGTGCCTAAAACTAAAACCAATTGGACAGAACTGATTGTTTCAGTTTTTGTTTAGGATTTTCCGTATTAAATTTATTATCTTCTTTTTAAAGTGTAAACTATTTTCCCGTTGTTTAAGAATGAGTCTTTCTTCTTTTCTTATTTATTATGAGAACTGTTTATTTGCATCTATTTGAGATAAAATCAGATGCAGTATCATATAAGACACTGAAAGACAGTAAAATAGTTATGGCAAAATAGAGATGGGCAGATCATATGACATAAACGATGGAAAAATAGAATGATAGAATATAGAACAGTGAACACTCACTAGGACAGTACTTCACAGTACACACTTGCAAACAGAATGTACATAATACGTATATCATGATGTTCGATCATACGAAATGATACCTTTTTAACATTTTGGTATAAAGTTCATTAATATTATGTTAACTAACATTACTCTCTTCATATAATAAAATTTTGGAAATCACGAAAGGTCTGGATTTAATGTCGAATTATGAAACGTGATAGACCTGGCAACTTAACCTCTGATGATTTAATTAGTGCTCAACTAATGACATATTGATTATTGTTATATATATTTTTCGTATAATAAGTTTAGCCTCTTCAAGTTTCTTTCCTATTCTTCTTCCCTCCTGTTTTTTCAAATATTATATTGTATTCATTAATTATAATAAACTAAAAATGATTAAACATGAGTTACAATTAAGATCTGAATCATCTTGCTTGCAGTCAAGCAAATCTTAAATGTTTTCATGGTACATGTCCAAAAATATGAAACATGAACATTTATAATATTTTTTCAAGAGAATTGCACAGTGCATTGTAATCTGGTGGTTAGCGTACGTTGGTCTAATGACAGAAACAAGTCTTTGCAAATATATTTTAATGATTTAAAAACATCGAGGTTGTTAAGATGCTGGTTATGGGAGAAGGTTATATTAAAACATTATCATCAATCTTCATCAGTAAGTTAAAAAAAATCAATACCGCGCTCGGATATAAGTAGGCCTGTCACAATACACTTGTTGTCACGAGATATTTGCTTTTGACATAAAGATGTATTGAAGTTTTCGTCTCTTTGAATCTTCAGTCCACTAATGTTCAAAGAGACATACTTGTATCGTATTCATCCAGTAATACAACACGTAAGCCTACTTTCAAAGATGTTTAAAGCGTTTTGTCCCTGAGATGGAAACTGAAGTTATCTGTTTTGAATCTGCATTAAAACTACTGAATTTCAATTTGGTCTCCATTGTAATATTCAAGCATTAATGTCTTAACCAAACTATTCACAGCAAAGCATTGTTTTTTTTTTAATTGACCATGTTTGCAAAGATTTTGTTGCCATTAGACCAACCTGTTTTGTGGTTTAAACCAGTTCACCGTTTATGAATTGTTTTGAAATGTTTATTGTGTTGTCTGTTATTTGCTGTGATTTGCTTTGTTGTCACGATAAAGCGCTTTGTAAAGAGCACTCAATAAATGAAAAAAATGGGGGAAAAAAGATGAAGTTCAAGTTCTTGTTTATTTTATTTCACACAGTGAAAACATAAATATATTTACACTAGTACAATACGTACTAGTATTGGTACTGTGTGTTTATAATGCGTCTTTCTTCACGGTTGCGAAGCACATATCAAGTGTCGAAAATCCAAGAAAACAATAACAAGAAAGACAACAAATACAATAGAAACAACATCAGGACATGTTCTGGAAGCAGGACAATCCCACCAAACCTGACGATTGAAAAACATACGAGATTCAAGAAGAGAGAGCTCCAAACTCAGGTTATACATACAACTCTACTGTTACAACAGGCTGTAACAACACAAATGAATTGCACACATTGGTAGCCTGTTGTATATATAAATCAAAGATTCTAGAATCTATCAAAACAAAAAATACATGTACTGCATTATCACTACTCAAAAATGAGCTACGTTTTAGAGCAGAAACACAAGGTAATGTCAATAAATAAGTGAATAAACATATAAAAACAAAGATGTAAAAAATTTTCAAAATAGACAGGTTATAAACAAAATAATTGTAACGATGCAAATGCTTTCTTTAATGTTTGAATAAAGGTGCTGGCTTCACCACAAGAGAGGGAGCAAGAGAGAGAGAGGGTGGTGGGGGGGGGGAAGAGAGAGAGAGAAACTCTACGTTACAACGTAAGGGATTTACACTTGGTTGATTAACTTTGACAACTGAATTTAACAGTCAGCAGAAAACTTTATAAAACTGTACAATGTAAAAGTGCACTCTTAACCTGGTGTTGACGTTACCACATGCAAAACTATTCAGACTATAACACAAAGCAGAAGCTGGACTATCAATGAAATTTTACAAGATACATAGTATATAACTGCGCACAAGTTACCATACAATTTATGTATGTAGTAGGCCTTAGTTAACAGTTGCATAATCGGATGTACATTTTCAACATAAACTAATGCTCTGTCCAACATTATCAAGTGAATAATTAAAAAAAAGCTTTAAGAAAATGCCTACAACCTTTTGTCTTCAGAGAACTAGGAGTACATTTTCTAGCTCTGGCATAATTGCATAGCTCAGAAGATTGTTCACTTAGCCTTGTAATTGGAAACTACATCAAACCTTAACGATCAATATTTTACTTTACTGTTAATTAGCTTCAATTTAGGGGGCGTATCTCATTTTAAAATGTATTACGCATCTCGTTAGTCGACTTATGAAATGTTCGAAACAGAGTGTGGTGAATATTAATGAGCACAGTTTTCCGCATCGTTCGCGCCACAAATACACACAATATAGGCACCACCAACTTAGAATACGGCAAGATGGTGCCCGTGCGCCGTTATCATATTGAACCGCACCAGGAATAATACTAAACGATTTCGTTTTTTAAATCTTAATGTAGGAAGCAAATTTACCAATAATATAAGTTTACCTTTATATTAAAGAAACACGAAACGCTGAATGGCACATTTGAGCAATAACTTCTAAACGGCAGTCACATCACTCTGGTTAATTAATATTTGGCTAAACCTCTAGACACAATGTATAAAATAATCTCAAATTACGCCAAGCTAAACTCGTGTATATATCAGAGATCATTGTATGAATCATCAACAGGAAAGACATTTTAGAAAGCTTCAACTTCAGGAGTGGGCTACTCCTTGCAGGCAATTATTGTTGCGCATCGAGGATTTCATACAATGGGTAACGACACAGGTGTATCTGAAGGTTCTCCTCACGTTCTCATTATCGCATTGCGAACTTTATTCTTGATCCTATGCGCCTTCCTGACAATTGGCGGGAACATTCTGAGTATTCTGGTCTTAAACAGACTGAAGTCCATGTCTGAAGTCCCAAAGATATTTCTGCTATCTCTTGCATTTACCGATCTCTGCATGGGACTTTTAAACGATTTGTTTTCGATCATTCCTGGAATTACTTCTTCGTGGCCTTATGGAGATGCCTTCTGTAAAGTGATTGGTATTTCTGGAAGTATCTTCTGCGGCGTGTCTCTGTTATCGTTGATGTCTGTTAGTGTCGATCGCTACATTGCTATTTCGAAACCGCTGCACTACATACAGCTAGTGACTAGACCACGCGCTCTCTGTGTGGTCACCACCATTTGGATTTCCACCTGTATTTTAGTTACATTATCATCAATTCTAAAGGGTGACGGCTCAGTAATTTATAATCCCCGACTCTGTACATGTATGGTGGCATGGGGCGATACAGAGTTCAAAACTTTCAACCTCATTACATTATTCGCATTTATCATGGTTCCTGCCATCGGGATGTTACTTCTTTACATCAGACTATTTTTCATAAGTAGACGGCACATTCGTAAGATTACAGAAGTGTCAACTGGCAATCCACCGGTGATTTCTAGACATGAGAGGAAGGCCATTAAAACGTTATTTATCGTTACAGGTGCATTTAATGTTGCTTGGTTGCCATTTTTAATTGCTCACTCATATTTGGCTATCAGCGGTAAAGTTATCGATGACAGATTATTATTTTTCGTTCTTTGGCTGGCGATTTCAAATAGTTGGTGGAACGTTTTAATATATTCTGTCACCAACCGTGCATACAGAAATACAGCATCTGCATTTTTAATATCGCTGTTGCCAGGCAGCAGAAACATTGTGCAAAGATTCAATGGTGATCCAGAGGATACGAACACAAACTAGTTTAATACAGTAAATGACAAATGAACAGTACCACAAATAAAAACTCAATCTGTATTTTATATCATTCAGAACGACTGACTCGTTGTACGCAAATTGATAACAATGCTAAATTGCTGTATAACACACAGTGGTTTTCGAAACTTGGCTTTCATTTTGAAATAAGAACATTATGACTGAATGGACTGGCCTTTTGATTATATATACAGTGAAAGAGATCAGAATACTGA